ACGACACGCGTCCCCCGCCCGGCCAGGTTCACACCAGCACACCAAGTTACACCGCGGTCATACTGTACCGCCCGTGTCAGACTCTGAGCAGGGAGTGTCTAACTTGGTCCTGCTGGAGATGAACCGAGAGCACATGGGTGAGTTTGAGTGGAAAATGAGAATACTAAAGAGTCGTGGTCCCAATCGGCGACGGAAAAGCACCCCGAGACGGAGTTGTTGGTCTTGGTTCTTCTGGGCCGAATGCCGAGCTTGTGCACTAGCATTCGGTCTATGATGCCGAGGGGTTCGGCCTCGGCCCTGACTGTGAGAACGGAGGGGGTGGGGGCGGAGGGGGGCAGCACAGGTGGATCACGTGGAGCTCGCTCGATTCCGGAGAAAAACCCTCACATAAAATATCAATAAACGACTGGGCGAGTCCCGGGGCTCTCCGCGCGTTAGAAGGGGGTCTCTTTTTGAGAGCCGGCCGGTGCGGGGCGCAGCGGGGGCGCTCCGTGTTTGTATAGTGCTCGCCGTGCAGCGGAGCGCGGCTCACACGGGCTCAGAAATTAGGAGCGTGCTCCTTTTGTTTTGTTTTGTGAAATCAAAGGTGACCGCCACGCGCCCCGGCCCTCATCCTGGCCCCATGGAGGCCTTTGTGGTGCCCGTTGGCCCGCCGACAGGGCGAGTGCGTGTGCGTGTGTGCGTGCGTATGCGTGCGTGTGCGTGCGTGTCCGTCCGTGTGTCGCGCCCAGCGGGGCGGCGGCGCGGCTCCCCCGGTGATCAGAGAGGGGCCGAGAGGAGAAGATTGTTCAAGTCCCAAAGAAAGGGGAGCGGCGGCGGCGGTCCAGCCTCGTGCTGGAGCATCTGGAGCGAGCTGGAGCCGGAGCTGAGTGAGATGCTGGAGCCGGAGTGAACTGGAGTGGAGCTGGAGCAATGGAGCATCTGTTATAGTGAGCTGGAGTGAGTTTGAGTAGATTCGAAATGAACTGGAGCCGGAGTGAGAACGATAGCAGAGCCAGTAGTGAGCGAGGAAGGACAAACCAAGGGGTGCCAGGGGAGCCTCGCGCCAGCTTGGCCGGCAAGTGGAACCCAATGCCAACCCCCTATGGATCTGCCCCTCCAAAGTTGCATTATATGCTTCGCTCGGTGTGCACTGCGGTCCGCTTTCATTCGCCGCAGTGGCATGTGTGGGAGGGCCCGGCCGGGGCGGCGGGTGGTGGAAGCGTTTGCTAATCCTGGATCTCGTCAAGGGGAAGAACAGGTAGAAGGTGGGGTGGGCGGCGACGGAGCGGGGCGGGGCGGGCCCTTCTTACATTGTCTCCGTGATTCTCCACTTCCTCTCTTGTTCCGGTGCCCGCCGCGGCCCGCCGCCGCCGCCGCCGGCTCACACAAGGGCCGCACGCCCCCAGCCTGAGTGCTCGGCCCCGCCGCCGCCCGCCCCCGGGACCTCGACGACGACGGCGGCAGGAGCGCGGCGGCGACTTGTCCTAAAAAAATAATTTAGTTCCGGCTTCATTGATGACGCCCCGGTGCCGCCGCCGCCGCCTCCGCCTCCTCCAGCGGAAGCAGCGCTCTGTTGTCGTCGGGCAGCCCCGAGCTCCTCCGCGCCGGCCGCGGCGGTATGGCGGGCGGAGGAGGCTCCTCCGCGTCCTTCAGCGGGGAGGTAGGTGTCCCGGGGTGCGTACACGTGTGCGCCGAGTGACGTCACACGAAGGCGAACCCCTTTTTGTGGCGTGCCACATAGAACGGGGCATTCTTCAAACATGAAAGGAGCCGCCGCCGAGATCAAAGGGGCCGCGTGGGAATTGTGTGGCGTAGGCTGAGGCGGGGCGGGGCGGGGCGGGG